CTCTCTCTTTCATTTTAAACAAGATGTTCACTATCCAGAGTCAGTAGGAGTTGGGCAAAACATAACTTTAATAATAATTACTGCTACTATTACTATGACTACTATACTGTAGTAACAGCATCAAACAGGAATTCTGAAACTACAAAACCATTACTACACAAATCCCTATTTGTGGGATTTCCCAAAAAGAGCTGCTGAAGCCAGTCTTAAAACGAATTCAAGTATAATATTAATCTGGTGTTTTAAATGTAATTTTTTTTAAATGTTTAAAAAAACACCCTGCGTGACGAGGACCCTTTATCCAAATTTCCTGGTTTAGATTCAACACACTCAAGTCATGCTGTTTCTTGAATAAGAAGCAAAAAGGCTCAAGTGAAAGGAATAACCTTCCTCTAAAACGGGGCTTAATAACTTTCCTTTGTGCCCCGTGGCCTCTTATTTTTGGGAGGATGAAGGCCGCGGGTATATAAACTGGGCACAGCTCTTGTCACGCACCCAAACAGCGTGAGGAATTTGTGCCAGAAGCGATATGAAGATGGGGGTCCTTTCTGTCTTCAGAAATAGACTGAAGCTTAGTCGTGAGGTAACAACGGCAATATTTCTGAGCCCTCCATGTGAAAATGGTGACACACACCATCTCTCAGGAGTTCAATAATCGTTATTAGATGTGGTTCTGAAGGGAAAAAAAAGAACTATAGACAAGTCATTTTCAAAGGTCCTGTTTCAAAAGGCGACTGGACGGTCTTTTCGAGGAGGAGGAGGAGGAGGAGGAGGAGGAGGAGGAGGAGGAGGAGGAGGAGGAGGAGGAGGAGGAGGAAGAATACATGTTGCTTCTCATCCAAGAACCAATGGATGAGAAGTGAAACAATTTTTTCTTCTTCCTCCTCAAGGAAAAAAAAAAGCCCAGGTGCCTTTTGAAGAAGCACTTTTGAAACAACTATAATCTGGATGACTGAGAATCTCCACAGACCTTCAAACAAGTGAACAACCGCTTTAAACTCAATGTAAATCGTTCTAAACCTGACTGAAAAAAAAAAAGTAATTCTATAATGCAGCTGTCGAAGTCTGGAATGCCCTACCTGATTCAGTTGTCTCCGCTACAAATTTTCACAGTTTCTGTCACAAATGGACTTCCGTGGTCCTTACTTCACACTTAAGTGGTCACTAGAGAGGGCGTGCCTCAGCGCGCTAACGTGCCTATCGTCCCCGTCATTGTATTTTTATTCTCTAATTCTTGTTCTCGTTTTGGTTTGACAAATTCCAATAAATAAATAAACAAATAAACAAACAAACAAACAAACAAACAAATAAATAAATAAATAAAATAAAGTCACTTTGTGTGATGAAAAGTCCCTCAGCTCCCAGCTAATGTTATACGAGTTTCACTTGGCTAAGATGGCCAAGTCCCACAAATGACCTCATCTGGCCCAGTGGTGGGATTCAAATTGTTTTTACTACTGGTTCTGTGGGCGTGGCTTGGTGGGCGTGGCATGGCTTGGTAGGCGTGGCTTGGTGGACGTGGCAGGGGAAGCATATTGCAAAATCCCCTTTCCCTCCCCACCCCATTGACCTGCTTTCCAGCTCCGTTCTCCTGTGCAGGGCAACTAAAGAAGACCCAGCCAATCAGCTGGGACTCAGGAGGTGGACAATAGATGGGGGCGGGACCAGTCAGAGGTGGCATTTGACGGTTCTCCGAATGACTCAAAATTCCCACTACCGGTTCTCCAGAACTGGTCAGAACTGGCTGAATACCATCTCTGATCCTGCCCCTTTGTGAGATGTTGTTTGGAAGCCTTAATCAGGGGTGGGATTCTACCAGTTCGCACCTATTCGGTAAAACCGGTAGTTAACATTCTAAGCAGTTCGGAGAACCGGTTGTTAGAAGCAATTACTGGCCTAATCCTGTAAGGAAGGCAGGAAGGAAACATTCTGGTGTTGCTTACAGAAACTGCCTCTCCGTTAACCCTTATTACATTCTTGGCAGGACTAGACTTCCTGTCTCAGGAACTTCTCTGGAGTTTTTTTTCCCCTCCTTTGCTGGTACTTTGCTTGTGTGGAGGGACCATTCAAAGTTACAATGGCACTGAAAAAAGTGACTTATGACCATTTTTCACACTTACGAGTGTTGTAGCATCCCCATAGTCATGAGAGGCCAGGCGAGGAGATGCGTGCCTCAATGTGAGTGATATTGAGTTGGCCATGCCCAGTCAATAACATGACCACCAAGCCACACCCACCAATTAAGCCACGCCCACAGAACCATTTGTTAAAAAATTTGAATCCCACCCCTGGCCTTAATCTCCCCAGTATTTGTGAGGCGCATATCAGTTCTGTTTTGAGGTTCCAAATATCTTGCTGACTTGGCCAATTCTCCTTCTGGTAAAAAGCTTGGTGGATAAGAGTCAATATTTAAAGACTATTTACTCCAGACAAGTCGCTGGGCATCTGTCTGAGGGGAAGTATTTCCAACTCTGCTCATCTTCGTATATTCAGAGACACGCCAGCTGTATCTTGAAATAGCAATGGATCGCCCGGGGGCCAACGTTACCCGTTACTCCACTTCTTTTTATAAAATAAAAACCCTTTGGAGCGTTTAAAAAAAGAAAGAAAACACGATTAGCTTTCAGCCGTGCTTGTTTTCCAGGATTCCAGGATCAAGAGGTTGCTCGTGTG